TCCGATGGGAAGAGGGGACTAGGCCAGCAGGCAGCAGCAACTAGAAAATCTTGTCTCCAGGCCTTTCCATCGACCTCTGCTGACTCCTCGGAATTTGGGGAACAGCCCAGCAGCCTCTCAGGACGCTTAGAATGCTCTGTTTGGGATTAAGGCTTCTCAGCCTGGGCCCCGTATTATAAACCTTTATACTTGACGAGTTTCAAGATTCTGATTTCATTAACCTTGGTTCCTCTGGAGCATTCAGATTTTTAAAAGTTACCCCAACTGATACCTCTGTGCAGCCAACTTTAAGGTATTTTTCCTATAGGCTGTGCTTAAGTTTTGTTTTGTGTTGTTTTTTTTAAAAATTGAATGAGTCTTTTAACAGGTGTGTATCTCATTAATTTCTAATAGCTATGCTTAATCTTAATCTTAATCTCTTTTTTCTGTTTACACTTGTTGTGTGAGATATGTTCTTCTTGTCTTCTCTCCCCGTGGTATTTTGAACTAGATGTAGCTTATTCTTAGTTATACGAGTGATTCCTTTTATAACTTTCAATGATGGGCTGAAAATTATTGGCTTCAAAAAAAAACACAAGGAGTTTATGTAACTTTCCATATGAAAGACGAGAAAACCAGCACACTTATTCACACACCTCATTCTTCCCTTTTAAAATTGAGATTTAACTGACATATAGCATTGTATAAATTCGAGGTTACACGTGTTGGTCTGGTACGTTTACATATCGCGATATCATGACTACAGTAGAGTTAGCTATCACCTTTCTCTTGTCACATAATTATCGTTTCTTTTCTGTGTTGAGAACAGTGAAGACCTAGTCTCTTAGCTACTTGGACGTTTATAATGCTCATTCTTTTCTCTCCTTGATTCCTTAAGTGTTCTGCCTGAAGAGTTGGACCATTTTCTATCTTTAAATTTTGTAAATCTCATCCATATATATAAGTTGGTTGCTCATTCTATACATTTGCTCTGAGGCCAGGAGAGTCCTTTTAATGTGTAAACTTAGGTTTCCTCACTTTTGAGATTTTCTTGAGTCATGTATGTGAACACTTTTTTCCTTGTTTAATGTGTAAACTTAGGTTTCCTCACTTTTGAGATTTTCTTGAGTCATGTATGTGAACACTTTTTTCCTTGTCCATTTGTTCTGTTTTTCCCGGGAACACGTCACCCAAAAGGATGCCCATTGTCCGTCTCCACAGCCCCATCTTGCTGCCGTTCTTCCCGTCTTGCTCTTCCCTCTGCATCCGGGTCCCCTTCTCAGGCCCGTCTTTCATGTCTCGGACTTG